TTATCTGATTTACCAAGGTAGAGATTCCTTCAGTAATCAGATTTACTTGTGTATTATTTACTGAGAGTGTCATGTACACTCATAAGCTCTGATCATCAAGTATGTTTCTCCTCCTAGTGTACTTCTCCCTCTTCTCCCAGTTTGGCTCACTAAGTGTTTTTTAAGAATAACGATGGATATCTACTGCCCAAGAAATACTCTTAGATAATACACAAACTGCCAAACCCCATTATTTTCTGTATTCTAAATTCAAACTGTTAAGAAAAACTTCATTTCAATAGAAAATTAATTTTGTTACAATAAGAAAATATTTACATGAAGAGATAATTATTAAATTATTATAGTGAGGCTCTCAACTATCTCTTATGTCTGCTTTTCTGGTTTGAAATAGTTGAATTAGTAACATTTCCAAGTCTGAACCTTTCTCATTGATGTTGGAGAGTTTCCTATACTGCGTATCTACATATGATACTTACCTGATGAATCAAGGTATGTGACAGGTACCATTGACCTTGCAGGATCTTACTCTTTTTGTCAACTAATCTGTTTTATGGAATGTTTCCTAACAATTTCCCCACCTGAATAGTTTAACATGAAATACAAGTTTTGCCAGGATGGATTCTTAGCAAATACTAACAGACCGAACATTTAGCCTTTTCCTTTTTTGTAAGATCAAATATTTTCTGCAACTAGCTGCCATCATTCTATCTAGGCTGGTAACTAATAGTTTTATGTGTTGTGCTATAACTACAGAGTTCAATGTTGAGAGTTCATGAGGGAAAGATGGAGGAAATACAGCTCTTATGACCATTCTTAGGATTTCCAGCTTTTAATGTAGGCAGAACCACTATTTCAAAGTAAGTAATTGTATGCAGTGTATAATTCATGTTTTTCCCCCTTGAAAATTCTATTTTATTCTAGTCATAGCTGTGCATTTTTTGAATAATTTAAAAGCAGAATGTTTAAGAATGAATGTGAGAATCTCCTCATACTAACTGAGAAAAGGCTACTACTAGCCTGAGTTTAGGCCTTCATATGCTAATATTTGCCTTTCTCATAAACTGCTAGAATACACAGTTTTGTTATCATTAGCAGAGATTTTCTTCAGATCTTTCAGGACAAAGTTCTTTTTTTGACGTTATTCTTAAGCTTTCAAGTAGTTTGACACCTTCTATGTAAAACAGCACAATCTTCTGAAGTTACCAAATTAGTGAGATTAATGAGCTCCCATTTTTACCTATTAATGGCTTCCTATATAAAAGAATTATACTTACTGCAATCACAGATTGTTCATGTTTGAAACTACAGGTTATCAACTTATTATTGTAGCTGTTTGCAGTTTATTTTAGTCTCCTGCTATTCTGATACGGGGCAATTCTGCTTTGAACGTTCTTTGTCTGCCAAAATGTATGTGTCTTGTTCAGACCAGATCTTTTTATTGAAATTGGATTATGTAATAAGAATTCATGACTGAGTGTTAAGAAATAGAACTCAATTCTGTTTATGTTGTGATATGTATAGGGAAGAAAAACCTCCTTCCTGCCAGTGGTTTGGCAGGATAGCAGATACAGGCTTTCTTAGACAAAGATCAAATTAAGTAAATAGTTTCCATTTCTATGTGTACATACAGGTATTATCTTGCAGGATTTGAAAGACACTGACAGGAGACAGATGATGGAATGACTTTCTTCTTTTGCCTGAGCAAAAAAAATTGCATTGCTGCTCTGCTGTGCAAATAAATCACTATCTCAAGTCCTGAGTGGTGTAAAAGCACAGAAGTGGCTTGAAACAACTCATCAGTGACATCCAAATAGTCCTGTTTGTAAATATAATTCACAAATCTAGAATAAACAGAAAGTCAACTGTCTTCAGTGTTGTGGGACTGCACCAAAACTGGTTTTAAAAGATACCGAGTATAATTAAAAGTGATTCCATAAGGTTAAACAACTTTGATCTCTCCCTGTCATATGTGCAAATTCAGAATCCTTTGAATGGTGTTGCTACTGCAGTGCAAGTAAAATGATAGTCATACTCTATCATATGTAAATATTAAGCTGAACAGATTTTAAGTTCCCATTGGCTGGGAAATGGAGTCATTCCATAACTTCAGTGAAGTTACTTTGATTTTATAGTAACGTAGTATAGCCCTTGGTCTCTTATCTTCTCTAATGTATGTTGTGCAGAATTTTAATGTTGCTCAGGAATTAACAGAAGTATCAATCATACTTTAGCAAAGCCTCAAAATACTTTCTAGTCATACGGATTATCATAAAAATACTGAAAATGTAATGAAAATGCAATTCTGATTTTAATAGTTAGCTGCATGGCCATGCTCATATATGAAGAATCTTTCTTGAAAAGTGACATAGGAATTGAAAGAAAATATAATTTAAAATTGTAGAATTTATAATAATATGTTTCACATAGGCACTGTGTAAATAAGGATGTAGATTGGAAATTTTTTTGTAAGTGATTTTAATGTAAGTTTGAATATCTTAGATGCCAGTGACCAAAGCTGAACTTCTAAATGGGATCCAAATTGTCTCTGATGGAGCAGCCAAAATTGCCAGTAGTTTCTATACATCCTGGCTGCTATGAACCTGAGTTGATATCAAAGGGATGTGAAATTACTTAAAATAATTTTGCATTAGATTGTGTGTCAAAGCTGAGTATTGTCTGTTTGAACATCTATGCTGTCTACTTACAGCACATGTAAGGAAAACATAAATGTAATAATTTAATGTGTATCAGCATCAGTGAGTCATCTTGTTTCCTTACTTTCTACTAAAGTGTAATATAGAGGTTGTTTGCACTACTCTGCCATGAAATAGTACAAATGTTGTTCTTTTGGGTACATTGTTTAACATATATAACATAGGTAAGAAGTGGCCATTTTGTTTGCACAACTTGTGTTAGAAAATACATTTAAAAATATCTGTGCCTCCAGTTATGTAGATATGGTAGTGGATATTTTCCCAATTATCTTTATATAATTAGAAGTGAATTAGTCTCTTTAAAATTGCTCCAGTTGTTTCATTGATTGTTTAATGTTTGCTTGTGTCTCTTTTTTTGCTTGTATCTGTGAATTATAGAACTCTTACAGATACCTATCTGGTACATGTTAAGCTCTTCAACCACTCTGCCTGCTTAGACAAAATTCACAAAGGGAGTAGAATGTTTAAATTTCTGTTTTATGTCTCTATTCTTCTTCAATGACACTTGAAGTTCTGTTAATGTATTTTTATCTCCAAAAGTCAAGCAGCTCTCTAAGTGTTCCTGTCTACAAAATCATACAGATAGAGAAGCACTGCCAGAAAGGCTGGGCCTCAGATACGATATGTTTAGAATTTAATAGGGAATGTCCTGCTTAGTTGCAATATTTTCAGTCCTTGTGCAGGGAATCACCTGCAGGACTTCTTACCACAAGCAGCTGTGAAACAGTCATTCCCTTATTCTTCTGGTTTGGGAAACGGTTTCGGAAGGGGAGCTTTCCATGACTGCTTTTGAAGCTCAGGAGCTGCCCATATGCTGGCTCATGACACATCTCATCAGATCTCCTTTTCTCCCTGCTGTGCTAGCGTGCTTTGGCATGGCCACACTCAGCAGCCCTCAGGGCATCCCGAATATCCCAGACCTCCTCCTGTGCCTCTGTCTGCAGGCAGCAGGAGCCTATGCTAGGGCCATGCAGTGCACCAGGATGGGCTACTTCCAGCAGTGGGAAAAACACTATTGAAACGTCTTCACTTCTGTTACTAGCCTCTCGTATATTTATGTATCAAAATGCTGGTTTTCAATCTATCAAGATTTGTTGTTTGCCTGTCAATACTAACATGCTGGTTACTTAAATATCATTGAGAAAAACCGTTTTGAGCTGCATCCCCTTGGTGCAAATTAGATTAACTAGAGATTGACACCTGTGAACACTTGAATGGTATATAGTACCTATGCTTCAGTGTCATTAAAACTAATGGATCTATATACCGCATGTCTTTATTTTCAGTCACTGCTGTCTTTATTCTGTGTGCATAATAATTAGTTTTCAGAATTTGCAGTGTACATCCCCAGGCCATTTTCTGGATATTTATGCAATTAGTTTAATGAACTTTGCTTAGGAGTTGCTATGTGATTAACAGTCATTACCTTCTTGGATTGCCAGTTTTACAAATTACCTAGAGATTTCATGTTCCGCAATTAAGTTTTCTTATTCGTAGCATAAAGCCAAAACATTTTTGTGGTGAACTCGCCCAGCTAACGAACAACAAAGGCATGCTGGTTGTGGTTGTGCTCCAGCGGTGATCCACTGAGATCCTCCGTCCCTGTCAGGAGCTGCCAGAACAAGCGATGGCAGTGGAGCTGTGCGCGGTTTCCCGGGGTTCGTCACCAGCACGTTCCTCTCTGGGGCGGGCTGGGTGAATGGATCAACAGAGGGAGGGAACACGCCGGTCTCGATCTGCAGGGAGCATTCCGTGCGCCCGCTGCCCGGCGCGACCG